TCTCTCTCTCTCTCTCTCTCTCTCTCTCTCTCTCTCTCTCTCTCTCTCTCTCGCACCTTCTCCCCCGCGAAACTATATGCCCAGCAGTCCCGTGCCGCCCCGCCGCAGCAGAGACCCTGGCTCAGCCCGGCAGGGACTCGGAGAACCGGCTCTCGCGCCAAACGTGAATGGAACGGGAGAGAACAGGAAAGAAGGGAGATGGGGGGGGGGAGCAGCTGATGTCGTCTCTTGCACATCGTCTCATCGCAGGCCGCGCGAAGGGATCGAAGATTGAAAGGGCCACAATTGGTAGGAGAATGGGATAGAGGGGGGGGGGGGTAAAGGGAGGAGAAGTGTTAAAGTCCTGCAGGGGGTCCTATACCCGCGGGACAAGTTTCAAGCAATAATGAGAGAAAGAGAGAGAGAGAAAGGGGGGGGGGAGGTGCAGAACGACGAGGCTTATCTTGTTGGGAGTCATCCATGCGCTTGGCAAGCGGTACTGTGCTGTACGCTTATTATATATCGGTTTTCCCCTTAAGCATTATTTTCTTTTTCAAAACAGGAAAATACTTTAAGACGCATATATACTAAACAAATCAAGAACCAAGCGCACCCCAACCGGCCAGTCCATCCCCTCCAGACGCCTGACGACCGAAGGCTAGGCCACCCACTCAAACAGCGCGTGCTGCTGTTGCCTACCCGGCAGGCGCTCCGGCGCTTCAACGTACACAAGACTTTAGACTAACCTCCAACCTCCCAAACTTTAAGTTCAAAAGTGTCCCTTGAACCCTCCTTCTACTTAATCTCAATCCCCATTTTTTCCGTTCATGGTCAGACTGCGAGTGCAGTAGGTCGAAAAAGGTACACCTAAAAAGCGATGCACAACAGTTTAACGGCATGAAAATTTTCAAAAAATGCTCTTTTGAATCTTTAGAAACTTTTAGTCCGTATTAGGCCTACACTTCGATCAATTCATATGGAGCAAGGTTTTGAACACTTTTGAAATCATTGTCCCCAGCGTAAGCTTTCGCACCGATTTGGCATGGTGGAGTTGAATGTCGCCACAAGAAGTCGCATGTCCGAGTTTACCGAAAAAAATAACTGGGCTTATACGTATTCTTTTGTTTTGCTTTGGCGCCTACATTGGGCAGTCAGACCACGTCACGCCAGACTTGGGGAGACGCAGACGCTGCTGCTGCTGGACTGGCTTCCACAAAGCGATATACAAACCGTTTAGGTAAATCCTCTGCCATAGCAGCGCGTACGCGGAGGGCGCACACAATCAGGAGAGAGACGGGGAGGAGAGAGAGAGAGAGAGAGAGAGAGAGAGAGAGAGAGAGAGAGA